CTCTCTCTCTCTCTCTCTCTCCTCTCTCTCTCTCTCTCTCTCTCTCTCTCTGTCGCCCACGTTGCTTCTCTTTCTCGCATCATCCTAGTCTCTCGTTGCTCCGGTCCTTTCTGTCTACGCTGTCCTCCTGGCCCCTCGTCTTCGCCTCTTTCCTCATCGTCGATTCTCCTCTCTGAACCTCCCCCACGATCCATCCGACTGCCGACGGCGCTTCCTGACTACCGCACTCTCGCGCCCCAGGTGGTCCCCCCCGCCCTCCCTGCAGGTATTTCCGGAGTGTTTCGGCAGTCTCGTTCGCGCCTTTTTTGCTTAGACTGAGTTACGCAGCGCCGTATCCCTCTCCTCATCTCCTGGGGCCCCGCTTTCCTTCCGGGGCGCACCTCCTGCCACATCGGTCGCCGAGTATTTCCGTTTGTCCTTTAAACCACCTTTCTCTTCCTCTTCTGCTCTCTGTACGCTCGCAGGTATTTATCTTGGCGTTCCCCGCATTTTTCTCGACTATGCGAACTGCCGTGGTGCGCGTCGGTGTCCCGTTTTTCTTTAAGCGGCCGCTTTTCATGCTTCTCTCGTCTGTGCGCTCTCTCTCTCTTCCCCCCCCTCCTTTTTCTCTCACTCATTCCTTTCTCTCTCTCTTCCTTTCTTTTTTTTCACGCCGTGAACTCGCCTTCTGTCTTGTCGGTCGCGCAGTTCCCCCTGAATTGGATTCTCGCTTACTTCTTATTGCAGTCGCCGGGGCTGCACTTCACTTACGGGTGTCAGCGGCCGCGCGGCGGATTCTCTGCCCGTCGCATCCGCGCGGCCAACCTTGTTCGCCGCACTTTTTTCGCGCCGCACGGCTCGCGAATTTTTGCGACCCGTAAAGAGAGTGGATTTCTTCCATCGAGCTTTCCGATTCGCACTCGTGTTCAGCTTTCATGCATCAAACTGTCGTCCCGCTCGCCCGTTTCTTCCATCATAATGATGTTTCCGCGTGCATCTCTCTTCTCCACTCCATTTTCCCTCTTATTTCCTTATTCGTTTCCCCTGCTCAATATCAGTTTGCATATCGCACATTTTTACGCGTGGTTTTGTATTACCTCTCGTGTTTCCCTCCGGTGATCCTTTTTCACTCGACGTTCACTCGCTTTTTGTGTCTTTCGCACTGTACAATCTCCCCTCTCACTCTACGTTTGATATACAGAGTATTTACTTTTTTCCCGAGGTTCTTCACCCTTCCGTCACATCTGTTCGCGACTAGTTGGCCGTTGCTCCAACGTCGCGCGGAATTTCTTGCTCCACATACGACGACGGAGTACGCAACTCCATTACAGACAGCAGCTGCGACTTGCAGCCAGCGCGACTCGTCCCCCCTCGGGCGATAAATAAGCCTGAGGGCGTGAGGAACAAACGTGAGAAACGCCGGTAATGCACTTTCCGAAGTAATCTATATCATCATCCTCTCGTTGACATAATGCGAGTCGTTTTCCGTGCCGGAGGGCCATCTCGCGTCGCTTCCTTCGCAGCGGCAGCGTTGAAAGCAACGAGATAAGACGCGGAATGCCGCGAACGCGTCCGTTAAATGTTCAATGTTATTTCCGGCGAAGCGGCAAGTTTCGTCACTCGAAAATACAATAATGTATCTGAATATCGCGAAGCGAAGGTGCTGGCGAAACGCGGAGAAATGTCAGACGCAGGAGGCGACTCTCAAAAGAGACTTTTTTTAATTGCGACTACATTTTTAATATTAATTACGTTATTTTATTTCGTTTGGCTCGGAGAGAGGACGGGCGCAATAACGATGTCATTTACAGTGAAATAATTTCACATTGTTGGCAACATCAAAGGTTAACATCAAATCCGGAAATTGATCTCGTTGTAATCTCTCGCGAGTAACAACGGCGCGAATCGGCGCAATGAGAATCTCTCTCGATGGAGGCAAAAGGTATGCATCCGCGCTGTGAAATAAACCGATTTCCACCGCCGATATAACCGGACGATTTTCCGGAAAGTCTATTAATGGTCATTACGGTAATCTGGCTCGCGGCGATCGCGCCGAGCATCCGCTCCGAGAATCACGGACGAAACCCCCTCCGCGCCGAGTCGATTCGACGTCTGCTTCCCTTTCGCCCTCTTTCGTCGCCCTCGCGCCCCTTCGCCGACGGCGCCGCTATTTCGCCGATGTATCCAGTGACCTACGTGGATGCCCATCATGATGGTTACCGGGTAGGGGAATGGATGGACGACCGGATTCTTCCCCACCAAGCGCGAGGAACGCGGCGCGAGCATACCGGCCATAATGGGTGGTAGAGCGATGATAGTAGTAGTAGTAGTAGTAGTAGTAGTAGTAATAGTAGTAGTAGTAGTAGTAGTAGTAGTAGTAGTAGTAGTAGTAGTGGTAGTAGTAGTAACTGTAGTAATGCGCGTCGTAACGCGAGGACAGCAGAGAACGTTGTAATGGCGTACGCACGATGCATTAATGCCGCTCTACGCGCACTTTTCGCCGCCAATTTAATCCACCTACGTTTTTTCCACCGTGCTCTCTCTTTTTCTCTCTTTATCTATCTATTTCTAGGTGCACTCGCCTACGCTGTAAAGACTAGAGTGGGTGGAAATACCCTTAACGATGTACCGGAGGTTTTTAATGCGGGGGAAAATTAATTTCCCGATTTTCTTCTACGGCAAAGTACCAACTTGCGTGGGCGCCGTTCATGTTTCACACGTGGGAAGGCAAAAATTATGAATGACTACACATACTTAATTAATTGTATTATATAATATTACTTGTTATCTGTATTTTTATATCTATATGCGTTAATTGTAAGAAATTAGATGTACGGATTTGTCAATGTTGTCGAATTGACAATAATTTTTCCATTAATGAACTGTAAGTTATCATATTTAATTTTATTAGAATTTTTATTAATGCTGAAAGTGGCACAATATTCACGCTGATCCTTTTAGATCCAAAGTTACACATTTATCATCCATATCTAATGCAAAATTAAATCGTGTCTTTCGAAAATTTTTCATTTATATTAATTTTCTTCTGTTACTGCAATTACTGAGCTTTCGCTCTTATCGCTTCTTCCATTTTTTAATTCTCAACTTTATAAGGCAAAGGTGAATTTTCTTCGTTATTTCTGTATTAATATATTTTATTTTGTTTTCAGGTTTATACATCGGCAGCCGGCGTACATCCTACCATAGTTCTTTTTTAACTATGTAGAAGGGGATCTATTTTACCATCCTGATTGGTGAGTCTTTATTTATACATAAATTTTCCACCATATCACAGAGTCTTAAGTAAGTAGTTTCTATTAATTTACATCTCCGTCTTTCCACGTTTAATACAATTATATCTATATTTATCATTGCTGTGCAAACATTATACGGTTTGCATGATTTTGATTTCTCATATTTGCATAATAGACGCTTATCAATATCAGATAAATTGTTTCGTTTAATAAACGCTTCGTTATAATAATGAATGGTCGATGAATAATGATCGCATCATTCATTGGTCTTCCCCTTTTATGGCACGGCGCGCCATCTCTTAATATTCCGCGCCAAATGTAATTGTAAACACCGGTGTAAACGCGGCCTACCCGAGCATTCCCGCAAATTTACGTCGCCCCTACATGGAGATGCAAGTCAGTGGTAATCTGTTTCACGGAAGGGTCGCTGGATTTAATGTGCCTCCCGACCTAGGGGCATCCTGAACCGCGCCCGCCGAACTCTCGAGTACTGTCGAGAGTTGTCTGCGGACAAAGTGGCGGTGTGGATATTGTGCAACTTTTGACAACGCGTCAAACGAATCATACTAGACTCTCGAATTTCGTGCCTCCGGCTCGCGTTACCACTCAGGACGGAAAGTTCCGCGAGTCTTTTGTGTACCTCGTGACTTTTGTGTGTCTAGTGGCGCGTTTTAGTTTCGACACAAGTACTCGAAATATTCGAGAAACTGAAGTAGAAGATACTAATATTATTTTTTATTATTGCGTATTATTATTTAAATGGTTATAATGTAGAAAAATATATCTTGAGAAGAATCATGTTTACGAAATATGCACAACGTCCTGAAACTCACGGATATCTTTTGAACAATTTCTCTGACCAATTTGACTGTAATCGATTCTTTATTAACGAAAACATTGTCACACCGACAGTTTCTGAATTATGTACAAGCAATTAAAAAAAAAATGCAAACTTTTATGAGGACAAATCAATAATAAAACTATATTTTCCAATAAATTTGAAATAGACTTTATTAAAAATTAAATTAAAAATTTTGTTAAAAAGATATATCTATAACATTAAAAATTGGAAAGGTGCAATAAATAATTTTTCAACTTTTCGGTGAAAGAAAATTAACTATAAATTGATCAGAAAATCTATTATCAAAAAGACATCCTCCAGTTTTTGGATATTTTGTGTAAGAATTGCTGATACAAGAAACAGAAAATATATTATCTGTGAGTTTAAGGAATAACTCGATTAAGATCTCATTATCGAATCTGCACGGTTCATTAATCTCTGTGTCTTTTAAATGAATTACTTTCGGAACTGCGAGTCTTCGTCCCCGCGTGAGGGAGCCGGGAAAAATTATCCCCGCAGCCGAGCAGAAAATAAAGTTTTACTTAAGGGGTTAAGAATGAGGAACGAGGGCGAAATCTTTGGCCCACAGTCCAGAAATATATCCCAATGGAATTGGATCCGTAGTGGTCGATTTACCCGCGCCTCCGTTTCAATTTGGCACAAATATTTCGAACCGTGACTTTTCGTTAGTTGGACCCAGATTTTCTTATTGTTAGAAACAGAGAATCGCGTTAGAAGCCGCATTAAG